ATATATATATATATATATATATATACAATGCAATCAAATATTCTATAAATCTATACTTTTAAAAAATTTATTTTCTTTTTGCAATGACCTACAATTTATTTGCGTTAATATTGTTTAAATGCATTTTCATTGTCTTTTAAACTGTAAGTTATCAGAAGTTGTCAGATTCAATGTCTAGGTTGGGCTCATATCTTAAGGTCCATGTAATGCAATTCTCTTGACATAAGAAGCTCAATAAAAACAAACTACAATTTATCGGCAAGATTTTACGAAAATTTTGCCACTTTTTAAAACTTACCATCTTGATCTTCTTTATCTGACCCATCCAGGTCATCTCCACTTGATGGATTTGACCTCTGCAGAAAAAAAATCAGAAAAATAAATAATTTGCGGAATAATTAAGACTTGGTCAAGGAAAGTCATCCATGCCACTTCTTTTCACTTACGAGAACATTATGTGTGGAGAACTGGTAGGTTAAAATTTACAAATTAATAAATGTTGTACTTACATTACCCTCTGATATCTGCGACGCAACAGGCAGACTGACTGTGGACTTCCATACATGAGCTGTGTTATCACCAGAGGCTGGGCAAAAAAAAAAAAAAAAGGAAGAATACATTGGCAATCAATTTTAAGGCAGTGGCATAACAAAGAGGCGTGGGTCCCTGGTTTCTTCGAATGCTACTACCTGGGGCCTTGGGGCTGCATAGGACACCTGTTAGGTACTGGGCGAAACAAGCTCTGGCATCTGCTGTTTTTTTTGACATTTTAATGGCATGGTTTTCTACAATTTCTCATATAGCTTTAAGGTCCACGGGACCCAAGGCTTTAGCCAGTGAGCTTATGGGTGTTATGCTACTGTCTTAAGACTCGCTGAACCCCAAAAAACCTTCCCAAAAAACAGACAATAGAATTTTCCAGAGTTAATCAAAGTTTAACAACTGACCAATCAGAACAGTGCTAGGAATATGCGCATGTCCAAGAAACACACGTGTTGTCCCACAAACACACGTTTGCGTATGTTTTTACACTATGGTTTTGTGGGATCTTAGCAAACGTAAATATCAAGGGGGCAGAGCTTAGCTGAAAGGTCCACTACAGGGGAACCAACACTACTGCATTGCTTTTCTGCAATTTGGGACCAGTAACATGTAGTAATTCCCAGAGTCATTACTCAAGATTCAATGATGTTGGCATCTGTATAGCCTCATTCTAAAACATTAAAATAATGGTAGAGAATAAAATGGGTGTGATTACCAGTGGTTGGATTGGATTGGATGTATTCAGTGTTTTATAATCATCAACATAAACACAATATGAAACACAACAATTAACAGTTTGTTGAATGTTTTACCTGTTAAGACCAGTGGTTCTTTCGCATGGAATCGCACAGAATTGACAGATCCACTATGACCTACATATTGCAACACACACGTTCCTGTCTCAATACTCCACAGGCGAGCTGAACGGTCTAAAAAAGAAAATAGGGTTGAAAAATAAACTATAGATTCATCTTGATTATAATTAATGAGGAAAATGAGAGCTAATATTAAGGGGTGTAATTCAAATCTA